AATTATGTTCTGTGGTTAGCTAGCTTAGTGATGCAATCAGATTACTTTTATGTACATTATTATATTATGCTGTGATCATTAGTTCGTGGATATGATAAATCCACGACAACTCATTTTTTTCCTTAAAACAATGAATAATATAACATTAATTCATTAAACTAGTAATCATTAATCACCTTCTATACACTAATTAATTTAATCTTAAATTCTCTAAAAAAGAATGTATGTCCCAAATCCTGAATATCTGTATACTATATATAGTCAATCTCCTCCATTCATCTTTATTTGAGAAAATATAATATTGTTTATAACATTTTTTTTTTTTGGTAATAATTTTGTGCCAGAGTAGGATGAAGAACGTGACCACATAACGTTTACTATAAATGACATTTTTTAACTTTTTTTTTTTTTTGGAAAAGAGTAATTATTTTCATCGTTTGCAACTTTATGTTTGAATAAAATCACAAAATATCTTCAATGACATAAAATGATAGGGAATTATATTCAATTGATAAGGAATTAATATATCGCAAATTAAATACAACACTTTGATGTATCTTTTTAAGTAAGACAACGTTGGATTTAATATTTGAAACATAAACTTCGTAAATTTGCAATATATTATTCTAACTTAAAGTTTCTGTCGATGTCGAATCTGATACTATGATGATGGACGTGGACTACCATTAATTTATATATATTCTGGTTTTTTTTTTTTTTTTCCTAGCTCGTGCAGTTATTGCATACTAATGAAATTAATTAATAGCGTGCCGAAAATTCATCTTTCCTAAATCAAATGCCCACCACATGTACAGAAAAACGGCAGTCGACGTGTTTTTCTTCTAATTTCTATTTGTTAATACAATAATATTGTATTTGTCAAATACATAATAATATATAAATTATAATAAACCACATGTGAAATATAACGAGAGTTGGTAATCGGATCCGACAATAAGTCAATTTAATTAAAGAGTTTATTATTATGGACATGTGACATAAATGGCTTTGGGTGATCCAATTAATCTGCAGTATAATTACCTAAACCCAGTGTCTAAGTAGGAAAAACAGCGAGTGGAAAGAAAGGCTGAGATTGAATGATGGGTGTTCTTGACCTTTGATTTTGATGTTTCGTTTTACATGGAAAGCGGTAGAAGATCGTACTGTTCCTCTAACGGCGCTTTATATTTTTAATTATTATTTTCCCCTGCTTTAATTTTCATGTGAAGCATATATGCTTAAAGAACGTGGATTCAAGATTCACGAACAAGGCTTTCTAAGTCGTAATTAACTTAATATGATGGTTATCTTGTCTCTTCACTGAGATAAGAATTTTATTTTAATTTTTGAATCACACTTGGGTGAGTTAATTCGTTAGAGGGGTCAAATCTATGATAGTTACGTGTTATTCATATAGAAATCATAATATCTATTATGGGGATAATGTCAGAAATCAAAGCCATGTGGGAGAGAGAGAATTAAGAAAGAGAAAAATGGAGAGCTTCTACAAATGTGGAGAGAATTTTGAAATGTGAGGCCCACCTTTTTTTTTTGCCCATGCGTGTGATTGTAGCAAAAATAAAGATGTAGTGAGCTCGGGTGTGTTATGTCGTCCTCAGGAGATTGGGGGTTATGGTACGCAATATGCAATCGCAATAAATTAAGCACTAGCATAAGGAAACCAACAAGAAGCTAAGCAAAATCATAACGAGATTGAGACTACGGTAACTAAACAAAGTAACACAAACACATATTAACAAGATGTAAACACGAAATAAAGAAATAGGACTCAAGCTAAGGAACATTATCTTCTAGATGCATAGCACAATTTAAGGATTGGGAAAAATCACACAACCAAGGAATAGAGGGGATGCACGTAGAAATCCTAGTCTATAAGTCCACTCACGTGAGCAAATTAAAAATGATTAGAACAAGGAATTGCCCCACTCTCGTGGTGAATCAACTCCAAGTTCTTCAAGAACACAAAGCATCTAAAAATCCCAATTTCCCCCATTTTCATAGGAAAAATCGGGTTTATGCAAGGAGTGGCTTGGAATCTTGACCCAACTCTCATTGAGGCCAAAAATCCTCCAAAACATGCCAATGAATGTTGTAAACCAAGCATTAACAATATACAAACACAAATCCTTCATAAACTCAAGAACCCTAGGTAGGCAAAAATCCCCTTTATGCAATAATCACAAACTAAGCATCAAGATAGGTAATGCAACCCTAACTCAAGTCCATAAACTAACTACTCATGATTAAATAGCATAAAGAACACAAAAACACAAGCATTAAACATAAATCTTGCAAAAGAATTGAAAGAGATAAAAGGAAGGAAAATTTATCTAAAGAAAATGGATGGTAGAATCTTGAAATGTTAGAATCCAAGTGTTGAATCCTTGATTACAAGCTTGAAATATGTTAAGAAACCTAAATCTAAACCTAATCTAACACTACAATATGAAAGGAAGTGAAAGAGAGAAGCTAGGGCTCAACCATGGGTCAAAACCATGTAGAAATGACTAAAATCGTGCCTATATAGTGGACAGAGCACAGTGATACTGGAAATGCACCAGGTACTGCCTGGCGTACACCCATCCCTGAACCAATACCAAATGTTGTCATATATGTGTTGAGACTTAGTCTTTTAGTAGTTTGTATTGACCTTGTTTTATGATTTTGTTGTAACAGACATCCTCTTAATATGCTTACTCTATTTATTGATTTTTTATAATAAATAAATTAATTCTGTTCTAGTTCTCATAATATGTAGAAATAACATAAAAAGGCCTATGGCCTGGGTTGCACAGACATTAACCTTAGTTAGTGTTGATGATAAATCCGGTGGTCTTTGATTTGAAAGGAGAAAACAAAAAGGCATAAAGTAAAAGAAAGTAATGGACTTAGACCATAGACCGTAAAATATGTTTGGTTTCACTTTTTATGAATACTAATTAACAACAGTTCACATTCTATATATATATATATATATATATATATATATATATATATATATATATGTTCACACGGACTGGGCAAGTCAATGCCATAACAACCCTCAGAACACTCCAGAGTGGGGGAAGGTAAAGTTTTCCCCTATGGGCTTTTGGTTGAAGGAATGAATTAAAGGGAAAGGAATTATAATTCGGTGGGAATAAAGTAGGAATTCAAATTACGTTGTTTGGTAAGGAGAAATAGAATTATTGAAATTGAGAAAGAAATAAGTGGTATAAAGACTAAAGTACCCTTGTGTAATAATAATAGTAATAACAACCCAGGATAGTAATGTCCTTTCATATGTTTTTCCTTTCTCAAAATTCATTGAATTGTACCCCATGAATTGCAATTCAATGAATTTTGAGAAAGGAAAAACATATGAAAGGACATTACTATCACCCCATGAATTGCAATTCAACAAAAGGAGAGAATTGCAATTCTGTGGAATTGTAATTCCCTCCAACCAAACAATGTAATTGAGGCATAACTACAGCTAAATTACAGTGAACCAAACGCCTTGTTAGTTCACATAAATACTGCTCGAATTTACCTTTGATGATGGATAAGATGAGGTATGTAATTATTCATGTTTTGTCATATTTTAAGGTCCTATCTGGTAAGAACATGATTAGTCTCAACATGTGAGTCAAAGAAATATGTGCTTTAACCCCCCCCCCCCCAAAAAAAAAAAAAAGGCTAATCAAATTGTCTAATTTGGATTATTCTTATAATAGTAGGATACTGCCGTATAAAAAAAATGGAATAAGTAAGTAGAATAAATATTTTTATCACATGCATGCATGTATATATGTGAGATGAACAATAAGTTGCATCGATTGATTTGATCTCAGTATACCTTATAAAAATATTCTTAATTTGTCACACAATAATAATTACTCCGACAACCGTAAAATTACTATTATTTATTTATTTATTTATTTATAACGAACCACCAATTAAATACATGCATGCATCCTCAACTAAATGTAGGGAGAAGAATATGAGAGTGGATGGGCGAATTCAGTATCTTTTCATCAAAATTTGATGTAATGGTAAATTAAATATTTAATTTTGACTATTAGTATTAGAGTGGGTTCAAATCAATTGAGGATGGGAGAATGACAATGGACCCTTACAGTTAGAGTGCAATCCTTCTAAGATGAATAAGGACCTATATAAATGACATATTGTATCTTCAACCACATATATATACACATGGTATGAATTTCCAGCAAATCTTCATTCTGCCATGAGGAGATCAGATTAAAACCCAACCATGTAGAAAGATCAAATTTCTTCAATTCATTCAACAGCTCATAGCTGCTTGTCACAGAAGATGGGATCCTCCATGTACAAAGCCAAGCAGTAATATCAATTAATGTTAATTCATTCATTCACTTCCATAACATATATGATCTCGGACACAAACAATAGATGATAAGTACTCAAGTCCAAACAGTGTTCTCATTTCAAATTAAAAAGACTAATCTGGATGTCTTTCACTCCAAACTCTTCCCCGCCATGGTTGATATATGAGAGCCCCTCCAATCTCAAACTTGAAATATCACTTCACAATCTCTTGCAGATTAACGTGAATGTGTATATCAATAGATGTACACTTCTATATATATATAACAAAGTTAATGTACAATGCAAATAACATACGGAGTAGTTATTAGTTACATGAGTAGTCCTATGACAAGTGTCATTCATTGTATCAGCTCATCTCAACTAACACAAATAAAAGCGTCTTGCACTGGCAAACTTAGCTTGCCTTATATATATATATATATATATATATATATGACGTAGGTAGTAGTAAATGCATGTATATATGCCTGCAGCATTCAGAACGAGCTGAGGAACAACACATGATGTTTGAAAGACAGACAGACAGACAATCATGAATTTCTTCATTCATCATATATATCATGCATATATATAAATGGATGGATCAACATACATTTGTTTCATGAAAACTAGCTACGTACACATGATTGCAGAACCTCATGAATTCCATCAGAAACTCCTCATTCATGCATGAGCAAAATTGCAATAATGTCTTACACAACATTAAATTAATGGAACAACTCGGATCCGATCCGGGCATGAACACATACATATATAGGAAATGAAAAATTAAAAACAAAGAAACAAATCAAACATACACTGCACGTTCATGAGGGGACTCATAACATGATGTATAGTACGTGTATATGGAAATTCAATTCGATCAATACTACAATAGATTAATAGAATCACTCAGATGTTGTTGAAGCACCTGAAGATCAACTCCTGCCTGTGGACTCACCTGCAATAATATTACATATAGCTAATTAAAGACTTGAAGAAGCTAGATAGGCCGGCAGTCTGATTATGAATCAACATTTTAATTTCCCATATATGCATCCAGATCAGAAAATTAAAGTTTTGACTGACCTGAACTCGGATGGTGTGGAGGAGTCTATCATCGACTCTAGAGCAAACGCAGCTAAGAACATGGTGGCCTTGTTGCACCAGTAGATCAAGCGCCCTGGAAATCCGAAACCCTTGGTTGGGAAACCCAGAATTTATGAATATTTCAACCCCATCCAAGCATGCCTCAACTGTCACCATTGCTGCTGCTGCTGCACTTGATGAGTTTCCAGTTCTGCGATTATAATCTTCATCAACAACATCACTGCCACTGGGACCAACTCTTTTTAACCTGTCCCTCTTCTCTTCCAATTCCCTGATGCTCTTCTGCTTGTCCTCAATGTAATTCACCGCCTCCATAACATGATCAGATGTGGACCGTTTTCCCTAATAAAAAACCCAACCCATATAATTGAAAAGATCCACCACATATATAGCTAGCTAATTAACCTAACAAAAAATTAAACTAAGTTAATTAAGTAAACGAACCTTAAGGTATTCGAGAGGGAGTTGAACGCGGAGAGAAGCATAAAGGTTGGCCATTTCTTGTCTCCTTTGTCTTTCAATGTCCCTATGCATCACTCTCTTATGCTTGCCATCACTCGCACTGCTCTCCCCTTGGCCCCGACCAGCCGCCGACGGTTTCTGCTGCTTGTTCTTGTTCTTTCCCTTGTTTCTGGGGGCGTTAACGTTAACGTTGTCTGGAATGGGATAATTACTGACCTCTAGCGCTGCCGCCACTGGGTCGTCTAATTCTAAGTAACCAACATCAAACTGCAGATCTTGATGTTGGAGTAATGTCGGATCTGTCTGAAACAAAAAGGGAGCGTCATCGTCGTGTGTTTTATGGGGAGCAGAAAACAGCTCAGAGTAATCTTCATTGTTTTGTTGCGAGGGAAAGAATGGATTATGATGAGGAAACTTATCCATTCGCATTAATTCAATAAAATCCTCACCAACTAACAATCACCCTTCATCTATCTACTTTATCAAGTGCACTGCTAGCTAATCATACGGCCAGATTAGCTAGTTTGGATAATATTGAAGGGGATTCGGTTGTTAGCAGATCTTGAAATGGGCCTTTAATTTGATGCTCATGAGATTATGCAATCTCTCTCTCTCTCCCTTCCCAATAAATACATATATAGAAAGAGAGATGAAGACTATCAAAGGGAGGACAAATATATTTAAAGGTATATATTATACACCATAGTATCTAAATGAATAGTTTTTTTTTTGTTTTTTTTAGTGACGGGAAAAACTTCGCAGTTATTATCCTAGCCTACAAAAGATCGGTACACTAACATGCTCAATAAATCACTATTATTAAAAATTAAACTTGAAACCTTATAATTACCAAATCAATTGATTAATTTGATTTTCTTTGAGAATTCTCTAGAAATGTTTTTTTTTTTTAAGCATGTAGTCTACATGAGTACACATTAATGGCATTATATACGTGAGTTAACGTAAACTGTTGGTCGTTTTTAATTATTGTTTTGTTACTGTAGATATGTACTAATCCATTCCCGGCCAAATCGTCTATTTTATTAGTTCACACTCAGGTGGACGGAAGCACCCACCCTGCCAAGAGTATCTTTAAAAAAACGTTATAATTTGCTACCATTTTTAAACCCTTCAAAACGCCTTGGCTTTGTCAATCTTGCGAATTGACAAACAACCTCAAATAGTCTATACTAATTTAATTTAATGAAATAATAATAATAATGAATGTGACATGTTGGAGTATTGTCGTCTGCGACTGATTCTACTTGGTCTTAGCTCGAACCAATAATTGATTGCTGTGTACGTGTATATGTATATATATTTATATAATATGGAGTATTTTCTTAGGATTGGATTTAACGTGTGTGCACTTATTTTACTGCATACTCTAATTTACTTTAGCCATTCGTAATTTGCTAATAGATTATTGGCCATGTTTGGTAAAAGATAGTTAGATCACTATTAGCTGTTTGACTTGGTTAAAAAAACAATTTAAATGTTTGGTTAATTAGTTTTTTTTTTTTTTTTTTTTTTTTTTTTTTTTTGTAACTGTAATGCTAAAATTCAAAAACTATTAGAAATAATTTTTTCAATTAACTCTTTTAGAAAAGAAATTATACCAAACAGCAACTAACAGCTAATTTGTCAATTACCTTTCTACAATCAGCCAATGTTATCAACTAGTCATATATACCATCTAACCCAATCAGCTAACAGTCATTTACCAAACAGGACCTTTATTATTTAACATTAGAATTTGTCAGGATTAAACCTTTGTCTTATGCTAAAAAAATATGAATAATATTAAAGTGTAACTTTGTTTTCTTATAGTTGCATAGTTATCAATATCACATTTTTACGACACAATACGACTTAACCTTCCAAGCCTTCACCCAATAGAACTACAACATAATATCAAACATGCTCTTTCAACATTAGTTTTTGAGCTCCAATAGCTAAATTTAAAAAATTAGAACAAAGCCCAAATAAGTTATCAAATTACACGCAAAATTACAATAGGATTATTCAACTCGAAAAAATTGCAATTGATCTCTGAATAATCCAAAATCATCATGCAATTAAATCAAATGTTACTCGTACTCCCAGTTGTAGGCTGATGTGACAGTCAACATTTAAAAAAAAAATTAAAAAATCCCAAACTCAAGCCTCCACCCCAACATAAAATTGATAAATAGATTTAAATAACTTTTTAAAAGTTAACCACCACGTCAGCTTACAACTGGAGTACATGTAACTTTCGATTTAATTGCATGATGTTGGATTATTCTTCATGGACGCAATTGTAATTTTTTTTTTTTTTCAATTGCATAGCTAATTGCAGTAGTTTATGGTGTAGTTTTATTACCTATTTAATCTTTGTTTTGAAAAGATTCCTACCATGCATTAATTTTTCTTAATTAATCTAATTAAACCTCGCCTTTAAAATAAGAAAAATATCTGATAGAATTAGGAGTTGGATGTGCAATTTCACGTTGAGAGTCGTCACAAATTAATGTTATAAGTTATAACTAGAATACAGGTCGGCAGGTCCTTAGCATCAAACCTTTAACTATACTTTAAAAAAAGTTTGCAACTTTTTTGGAGAACTATTTTCCAAAGTGAACCATAGTTTAACCCTAAATTAAAAAGATATGGTATAATTAAATTATGGTCCTTTCACTAGTAAAATATTTAATTTTTTTTATAACTACAATCTAACCTATTTATAATATATTGAACATGTAATCTTCCGTTTGAAATGGTAATAATATGACATCATACCACAAGGTACTTGATTGACATTTTTATTTTTTATTTGTTATTTGTTTAAATATAGTGTGCATTTATTGCTTACTTTTCTAAGAAAGATTGTGCAATAATACATTTTAAATAATTTCATACTACTTTAATTTTTGATGGATCTGTGATTAACGATTAAGTGTTGTTTTTTGTTAAGATATATATAAGTCCGCAACAAATTTTATATGTACCAAGTTGGAATATAAACTCATTTTCATCTACTTTTCATATCATTCGAAAAAAGTGAACAAAAATTAAGAATTAAAAACTTTTTTAACCACGGTTGGTGTTAGTCAAGAAGTGATCAACCAACCATTGCACCCCCAAAGGTTGTTGATATTTACGATCAATATATTTAGATGTATGCGGTCAAAATACTTTGTAAATTTAGGTCCTGTTTGGTAAAATATTTAGTCTATCAGTTAATTTTGACTTGTTGGCTCACTATTAGTTGTTTGATTTGGTTATATAATCAATATAAATGTTTGGTTAATTAACTTTTTGTAACAGCGTATTGCTCCAAAAGGTTAAAATTTTTTTAAAAAAAATGTTCAACACAACTTTTTCGATTAACTTTTAAAAATGTCATTTTGCATATAATCAGCTATCAGCTAACAACTAATTTACCAAACATCTTTCTATAATCAACCAATATTATCAACTAACTAATCAAGCCCACATGGACAGCTCAGCTGGTCATAGGGGTGAAGTTTGGGAAGAATGACCAGTGATAGAGTCTTGCCAGCGGCAGGGGAATGAGGGGGCTCCTTGTGCGTATGTAGTAAGCAAAGGTCTAGCCATGAGGGGATTCAACCTTTTACAAAGAACTAATCAAATTCACTAACTCAATCAGCTAACAAGTATCTACCAAACACCCCTTAGTGAAAAAACCTCATTTGAATGGTCAGATCGAATTTTAGTGTCTTTTTTTCAGTTGTGCTATAATTTATAACATAGTGATGGAATCATCAAATTTAATATACTACTAGGGGGAGTAGGAAGGATTTGGGAAACTGGGCGTGAGCGAATACTGATGCGTAGGTCCATGAACTTTAATTGAGGTTATGCTTTCCAGGACATGTGTTCTAATTAAATATAGTATTAGGAAGGATGCTAATCAAAGAGTATCAATTCTTTAATTGCTTTGAAGATCGTATAATCCCATATAATAAATAAATTAATTGTGTTTAGCTCTAATTATATTAATATATAAATGTGTATATGTACACGTTTGGAAGTAGTAGCTTAGTTAATATAATGTAGGCCAATATTGAAACACTCGCCGGGGATTAATATTTTAGCGACATCAGCTGCCTGAGAAAGGCCTGACATTTGTTTATGGTATTAGGTACTGTAACACCACTACGCTCCATGCCCACGAAAACCCTATTTGGAATCCCAAAACTTATAGTACAATAATTTATACTAATATTTGTGGGCACTTTGAATACTTGACCTGATTAAGCTAGGTTTTGCAAAATGGTTTAGATGAAGATCAGAAATGCCCGCATCCTAAATATTATATTGATCGAAGGAATTGAATTAAAGGCACCAATTTTTTGTATTTTTTATTTTTGGGTATATATTTATATTTTTATGATTTGTTGTTGCATTATATTGTATCGGAGCAGAATGAGCAAGGTTGTTGATTAAAATCTGCTATCAGAGAATATGGAAGAACCTTTGAGTTTGAACGTAACGTCTTGTAGCATCATTGAAATGGAAGTTTTGACCATTTTGAAGGGGGTGCAAGTTGTTCGGAAAGCGGGGGATTGTTAAGTCATTCATATATAGTGTGATTTAAAATTACGTGAGCTAGAAGAATTTTACATTTCCATCTCGACGTCTTTAATTGCTTAAATTTAATTTGTTAGAGGAATAGTGGTGGATTATATTGTGAATATAATTGTTAATGGGAAGTTCGGATTGTTCATGTCTATTGGGAGCAAAATAGAGCATTAAATTTTCTTTTCAGGAGCCTTGTAGAAATAACCTTAGCTTCTACCTTTTTTTACTGGATATATAATTGCATGAGTGTTTGTAAACCTTGTTCTAAACTCGAGTTAAATTAGAATACACATATATGCATACATGCGCACACTTAGCTTTAATTTGGTACTCCTTATTCATTAAAATAGATAAAAGTATTTTGGATTCAAACTCTATGTATGTTTTACTTGGTATCAAAATATTTGTAAATTTCAAAGTAAACAAAATATAATGCCGCAGATAAATGTGCTGTAACAACCCTGGCAAGTGAAGATAATTTCATTGAAGAAGAAGCCTCTGGGCAGCCCAAAGAAGCCTCAGAGAATTGAAGGAGTAAAGTCGAGGACTAATACGGCGTCGTTTGAAGGAATCAGTTAAGCCGTTATATTTAATCAAAACGCAGTCGTTCGAACCAGGCGGTTATTTTGTTTCCATCCGATGTTGCTGCTGTGCGCTGGACAAAGAGGAGCTGAGAATCCGGAGGTTGTTAGCAGACCTTGGAAGCATTAGCGGGCTATCTTATTTATTGTTAGCTTAGCTTCAGCAGTTTTTTAGCTTTTTGGTGGAATTAAAGAATCAAAAACTCTTCTTTTCCTTCCCTAAAATACAATTCAGAATCCCTTTTTTCTTCTTCCTCTTCATCCCTTTTCTGCATATTTTTCTTAGTTTTCCAAGTCTGTGACAGTTGGTATCAGAGCTCCCCTTTGCTGGGCTACAATGGTGAATAGCGAAGAAAGACTCAGGGCCTTGCAAACTGAGATTGAGGCAAGGCTGGAAGCAAGTAACCTTGAGCAGAACACAAGGATCACTGCTGGGCAACAACGAATGGAGGACGCTATCCTGGAGCTTAGAGCACACATGGTGGAGTGGAAAGATGAGATTATGGAGCTGTTACGGTTGAACAGACCACCCCCACCTTCCATGGACCAACCCTCAGTGCATGGACATCCCCCACCTCCTCAGCAGAGTCCAGGGGAAGGCAGTGTAGATCCAGGAAGAAGAAGACCAGGAAAAGAGCCTGTAGAGAGAGAACAAGTGGAGATGGAAGAAGTCTCTGATGGAGATGATGGCTTGCCAGAAAACCCTCTTGGTTACCAGGCATTTCCTGGGAATGCAGCTAGGCCAGGACTAGCTAGGAGAGTCCACTTTGGGGCAAGAGCTGGTCAACACAACCCAGGGGGTGATCAAGGAATAAGGTACAAACATGAGTTCCCTAGTTTTGATTATGAGAATCCAAGATTGTGGGTGGTGAGGTGTGAACGATTCTTTATGCTAGCTAGGGTTCCCAGGGAAGAAATATTGCATGTTCTGTGTGTCAATCTAACAGGAAAGGTGGCCTTGTGGTATGAGGGGTACCTAAATGGCCTTAGGGAGGGATTTCAGTGGGCAGTTTTTGCCAGGGCTTTGTGTAAAAGGTTTTGTGAGAACAGCACTGATGTGATGGAAGAGTTTGCTAGCTTCAAACATACAGGGAATGTCACTGATTTTGCTGATAAATATGAGGAGTATAGAGGGCTCCTGTTGCAGATTTACCCATACCTAACTGAGCAATATTTCCTAGATAATTTCATAGTCAGACTTAAGCAACATTTAAGATGCTTTGTGAGAACTGCTAAGCCTGCTAGTTTGGAGGATGCTATATGGACAGCCAGGCAGTTTGAGAAGGGTTTGAAAACCCATGAGCCTCAGAAGAATACCTCTTACCCACAAAAAACATCCTTCACTTCCCAAAACACCCAAGCCTACCCTAAAACTTCTAACCCCAAACACCCTGAGCCACACAGACCCCAAAATATCCAAAATTTCCCAAAGACCTCAGCCTCAAACACATTTCAATCAAATGCTAGATCACCTGAAATCAGCAAATTCAAGAACCAGCTAAGAGAACAAAATAGGTGTTTCAGGTGCTTTGATCCATGGAGCCCTGGGCACAAATGCAAGAGTCCCACTTTCAACATCATTGAAGGGGTTGAGAACCTGGATTGTGAGGAGGAAGCTAATGAGGAGCAGCCTGTAAGTGTGGAATCTGTAATAGCCCCAGAATCTGAAACAGTAGAGGTGACCCTTTGTGCTGTTATTGGAGGAGAAGGGTTCAACACCATTAAGTTGATGGGAAGCATTGGGAAACAAGCCATTACAATCTTAGTGGACAGTGGAAGCACACATAGTTTCCTTGACCCCAGAGTTCTTAACCAGATGAAAATTATACCTGAAAAGTCTAGTCCTCTCATGGTGACAGTAGCAAATTGGAACACCATGGTTTGTGATCTCAAGTGTGATGGCCTTAAGTGGCAAGTGCAGAATGTGGTTTTTGAAAGAGACTTTAGGGTGTTAAAACTGGGTGGTTGTGACATGGTACTAGGCATGGATTGGATTGACAACTTTGCTCCAATCCCATTGCACACCAGGCCTCCCGGCATATCATTCCACAAAGATGGCAGAAGGGTACTCCTAAAAGGCATGACTAAGGGGGTCACCTTACACTCAGCCACTAAGAAGGAAATCAGAAGATGGAAGAAGGAGGGTGTGCAAGGGTTTTGGGTCCAAAGTACACCTCAACTTGCCAGGAATGATGGGTCCCTATACTACCAACAAATTGATTCCCTCCCCAGCAACCCTGAATTGGCTAAGATCTTGCAGGATTTTCAGGATCTATTTGCAGAACCTAAGACATTACCACCAAGGAGACCATTTGACCATGAAATTCCCCTGATGCCAGGTGCTAAACCTGTGAACTTTAAACCTTATAGGTACTCATTTGTGCAGAAAAACACAATAGAAAAGATGGTTGAGGAGATGCTGACAGCTGGAATTATCTCCCACAGTACATCCCCTTTTGCTTCTCCAGTGTTGCTAGTGCCAAAGAAGGATAACACATGGAGATTTTGTGTAGATTACAGGGCCCTCAATGAGATCACCATTAAGAACAAATTCCCAATCCCCTTAGTTGAGGACTTGTTCTCTGAATTGGCCAATGCTAAAGTTTTCACCAAGCTGGATTTAAGGGCTGGGTACCATCAAGTCAGAATGAAAGAAGGAGAAGAATTCAAGACAGCCTTCAGGACTCACCTAGGGTTGTATGAATTTAAGGTAATGCCCTTTGGATTAACCAATGCCCCTGCTACCTTTCAATCTCTCATGAACTTTGTGTTTAAGCCATTGATTAGAAAGACAGTGTTAGTATTCTTTGATGATATATTGATCTACAGTCCTACATTGAACACTCATTGGGGTCATTTAAGGGAAGTTCTGAAAGTAACGAGGGACCACTAGCTATTAGCAAAGCTTAGCAAATGTTCCTTTGCAAAGACAGAGGTGGAGTATCTTGGTCATATAATTTCTGAGAAAGGACTGCATACAGACCCTGCCAAGCTGGCTGCTGTGGCTTCATGGCCTAAACCTGCTAACATTAAGGAATTGAGAGGGTTCCTAGGTCTTACAGGCTACTACAGGAGATTCATAAGAGCATATGGTATTATCAGCAGGCCTCTAGCTAACATGTTAAAAAAGGATGCCTTTCAGTGGAGTGAGGAATCTGAAACTGCTTTTGAAACTTTGAAGCAAGCTTTGTGTGGTGCCCCAGTCTTGACTCTCCCTGATTTTGAAAAAAGTTTTGTGGTTGAAGCTGATGCATGTTACAAAGGGATGGGAGCAGTACTTATGCAAGAAGGGAAGCCAGTGGCCTACTTTAGCAAGGGATTTGGAACCAAGCATTTGGGGCTGTCAATTTATGAAAAAGAGTACCTTTCCATCATCAATGCAGTTGATAAATGGAGATCTTATTTAATGGGAAGGCCATTTACTATCAAAACTGACCATCAGAGTTTGAAATTCCTCCTAGAACAGAAGATAACAACAGCTATGCAGCAAAAAGGGCTTACTAAACTTCTTGGACTGAACTACACCATTCAATATAAAAAGGGGGTGGACAACAGTGTTGCTGATGCCTTGTCTAGAAGGAGGGGGCCTGGTCAAGCTGAGAATTTGGCAATTTCAGCAGTAAGACCACTCTGGTTAGAAGAAGTCATAAGAAGCTATGAAGGGGATGAATTAGCTTCTAAGATACTCACTGAGCAGTTGATTGCAGTTGAAGAACCTTCAAATTTTACAGTAGTTGATGGATTGGTGAGGTTTAAGGGAAGGTTATATATTGGTCAGCAAGGGGACTTAAGGAGAAGGCTTCTAATACAGTTGCATAGCTCCCCTACAGGAGGACATTCAGGCCAGCAAGTGACCTATCATAGACTCAAACAATTGTTTTATTGGAAAGGAATGAAAAATGAAGTGATAGCAGCAGTGTAAGCTTGTGACATTTGTCAAAAATGCAAAGAAGAGAATGTGGCCTACCCTGGGCTACTTCAACCCTTAAAGATTCCAGAGCAGGCTTGGCAAAACATTTCAATGGATTTTATTGAAGGGCTTCCCATGTCCCAAGGAAAAGAAGTCATCATGGTAGTAGTGGATAGACTTACCAAGTACAGCCATTTCTTAGCCCTTGCCCACCCTTATACTGCAGAAAAAGTAGCTGAGGTCTTCATGGACCATATCTATAAACTTCATGGGATGCCCAAAGACATTGTGAGTGACAGGGATAGGGTGTTTGTGAGCAGGTTTTGGAGGAGTCTGTTTAAGCAACTGCAAGTGAATTTAAGCATGTCCACAGCTTATCACCCCCAATCTGATGGACAGACAGAAAGAGTTAACCAATGTTTAGAAACTTACCTCAGATGTATGGTTTTTCATAAACCTAAGGCATGGTCTAAGTGGCTGCATTTAGCTGAGCATTGGTACAACACAAATTACCACACCTCCTTGCAGTGTACCCCATTTCAGGCTTTGTATGGTTATCTACCCCCCATTCTAACCTTCAATGTACTACAGGCAAGAGAGGGCAATGAGTGGTTTCAGGAAAGGGCCTCTATGATAGCCATACTTAAGGAGAATCTACAAAAAGCCCAATCCAGAATGAAGCAACAAGCAAATAAGCACAGGACTGAGAGGCAGTTTGTTGTTGGGGATTATGTCTACCTTAAAATACAGCCTTACGGGCAGGTTTCCATGGCTGTTAGATCGAATGTGAAACTCACTGCAAGGTTCTATGGTCCCTTCAAGGTCTTGGAAAGGATTGGAGAAGTTGCTTACAGATTAGAGTTGCCAGCAGAAACTGTTATCCATCCAGTTTTTCATGTCTCTCAATTGAAGAAAAGGGTTGGAGAAGGGGTGATTCCACAATCCACACTGCCCCTAACTAATCCTGAAGGGGTGATATTGACTCAGCCAATTGCAGCTATAGGGAAGAGACTGATTAAGAAAAACAACAAAGCTGAAGTGGAGATCCTTGTGCAGTGGGCAAATCTGCCTAAGGAGGCAGCAACTTGGGAAAATTTTCATCATATTACCAAACAATTTCCAGGCTTTGATCCTTGGGGTCAAGGATCCCATGATGGGGAGGGTAATGTAACAACCCTGGCAAGTGAAGATAATTTCATTGAAGAAGAAGCCTCTGGGCAGCCCAAAGAAGCCTCAGAGAATTGAAGGAGTAAAGTCGAGGACTAATACGGCGTCGTTTGAAGGAATCAGTTAAGCCGTTATATTTAATCAAAACGCAGTCGTTCGAACCAGGCGGTTATTTTGTTTCCATCCGATGTTGCTGCTGTGCGCTGGACAAAGAGGAGCTGAGAATCCGGAGGTTGTTAGCAGACCTTGGAAGCATTAGCGGGCTATCTTATTTATTGTTAGCTTAGCTTCAGCAGTTTTTTAGCTTTTTGGTGGAATTAAAGAATCAAAAACTCTTCTTTTCCTTCCCTAAAATACAATTCAGAATCCCTTTTTTCTTCTTCCTCTTCATCCCTTTTCTGCATATTTTTCTTAGTTTTCCAAGTCTGTGACATGTGCATATATAGTCCATAGAGGGTGAAACCAAACAATAAGCATAACTTTAGAATGGTATGTACAACAAAAAAAATATTTATATTAGCTTGATCATATCAACTCAGCATCTAAAATAAGAAAACTTAAAAATTAAATGTAAAGACTAAATTAAATATTCCAAACTTCAAACTCTGATGATCTTTTCCAATATTCTCAAAAACTAAAACTCAACAACTTAAGATTATATACATTTTTGCATCATATCACAGAGCTGAGACATATATACTGGAATAAATAACAAATTAATAAACCACAGATCAGAGAACTTCAATTCAACAAAGAATTCAATTCCTGGAAGAATAACTAATATAATTAACAACGTACGCACAACTGGGAAGACTACAATTCATATTTAATTTTCATCATCTTTTAGGTAGATCAGAGAGCCTATCTGATCTGGTACTCCGTACCTACCTTAGCTTTAATTTGTATACATCAAGAAACCACTAAAACTGGCAACTAATTAATGAAGCTGTCTTGAGAGATTGAGCCTATATATTAGCTTAGCTTCCTGGTTTGAGTACGTCTATTACCTTCTTGTGAATACTAATTAGGTTATAAGACTATATTTACTCGGTGCATACCCTCAAAAGTCAAGAACATTGGGTTGCGATGCATTTAATGCACCACTCGATCAGCTTCTGTTTCAAGCTAAGCCCCCAACATCAACACATATTTCTCCTCATACCTACAATTATACAGTATTATTAATGATCAATTCAAGAAATCTGTATGTATGTATGTGTCCTTTAACTATATATCTGGATGATTTGCTGTTGTATGTTTTAATCAATTACCTTGGAATGAATTGAAATCTGTGGATCGAGCAGCCTGCCATATATATGGCTGGTTCTTGTAGAAACTAACACAGCTCAATCTCAACCTCAACCCCTTCATTTAATAGGTAGCTAGGGTTCTGAGCAGTGTTGATAAGGGAAATCTCTCCTCTATACCTAGTTTGCAGCCAGTGTCAACGACGATCTCCAAGCCGCCGTCCCGGAACGGCTGACGGAGACATACCCTGGCGACGGTGATGAGCTGCAGCCATGGCCGGGAAGAAATTGAGAAGTACGTAGCTAGTCTCTTCTTCTCTCCAACTCCTTCAAATTGGTATATATGCATGCATCTGTTAGTTCGATGTAATTCACCGCCGCCTGCATCTACTCCCATGCCGATTGAACTACGCTTTCTCTATATTATCATCGATCACAACAAAAATGGATCGAATTAACTCATTATATTTTCAAGATTATTTCATATATATATATATATATATATATATATATATATATATATATATATATATGTGTGTGTGTGTGTGTGTGTGTGTGTGTGTGTTTAAATTTTACCTTAACATACTCGACAGGGAGGAGAGAGCGGAGGGTGGCCATTTCTTTCCGGCGCCGTCGACAGCAGCTTTTTGCTTCCTCTGATCTTTCTTGAAGAAGAACAATTATATTATTAACGTTGCTGTTGTGGCAGTGGTTGTTGGTGTCCAGTAAAGGACAAGAATTACTCGTATAATCAAAAGGATAATTATAGTCCAAAATCAAATCTTCTGAGATCGATCATGTTTTGTTGGCAAGAGAGATGATGATGAGGATCGGAGAGAATCTGATAGGCAAGCTCATCACTGCGCGTTGTAAATTAAAGGAAACATTATATATTATGGCTACTTGTATATATATATTTTCAAATTAATTAAGATAATCCAAGGTGAATAATCATATATCATGTCAAGAAGACGACACATCAGAGAAGAAAGGAAGGATGGGTTGTTAGCTAGGATTGTGAAATCTTCAACAACATATATATATATATACACACATGATCTTATTCAATATAATTCCCAGAATGCTGCAATGTCTTCATCATAAACAAAGATCGAAGATGTCAATACTAACCAAAAATCATTTCTTTCTTTATTCTATTTTTTAATTTTTTTTTTATTGGTTCTTTCTTCTTTATGGTTTCCAACCCCCACCATATTCTCCATTCAATGCACTGTGGCCAAAATAAAATATGAAAAAGTAATTTTTTAAAAAAAAATATAGTTTAATTTCATAATTGAAGAAGAAGAAAAGAGAGATGGATTAAAAGATGTTTACCTTCCAATTGTGCAGCTTTTGGAGATTGTAATTTATATAATAAACAATAACCTTAAACCAATCAAATTTCGACAGCTAAATTATTATTTTATTTCTTCTTTTGATGTTTATGTTAAGTTGTGTTGGGATAAGGTAATTAAGGTTCTTGCTTTTCCATTGCTATGATTGTACGAGTTTATTCCACCTCCTGATTACTGGATTATAATAATATTTTTACCTTTAATTCTTAATTTTGATTTCTTTTATTTTTAATTCTCCATATTAAAATTATTTTACTTTTTTAAAATTGTTTAAAAAACCTTCAAATATACAGTGATAAAATGAAGTTTTATAGACATTTTATAAATTTTTAAGAATTTTTTGGACTAAAAGTAAATTATTTTTAAAATCAAGAATTAAATAAAACAAATGAGTTAATACCCAAAATCGTCTTCGACTATAGTGGTTTTTCTCAATTTCGTCCTAAACGACTTTGGTGACCTAATATCGTCCCACACTTTTGTGTTTCGCTCAATTTAGTCTTAGACTTTTGTGTTTTTGCTTAATTTAGTCCCTCATTTGTTATTTTATCCATTTGGTGTTAAATAAATAGATAATTCAGTAATTTTAATATTGACATCTCTTTACTCATAGACATGTGAACTGCGAAATCCCTTTTTTTTAACGAATTACTCCCAGAATTACTCCTAAAACTACGAATATAAAATTTGATTCGCAGGTCCGGGAGTAATTCTGGGTATAATTCGTACAAGAAAGAGGAATTTCGCACTTCACAAGTTGAAAGTAAAGAGAGATCAATATTGACATTACTGAATTGTCCCTTTATTTAACACCAATTTGACAGAATAACAAATAGAGAACTAAATTGAGCGAAACACAAAAGTCTGGGACGATATTAGGTCACCACAGTCGTTTAGGACGAAATTGAGAAAAACCACCGGACGATTTTGGGTATTAACTCTAAAACAAATTGAAGTTAGAAAATAGAAACTAAAAACATAATACCATTAAGTTGAGAGATCAAAATGGAATAAACTCATCTTTGTATTATAATTGTGTAATTGTACAAAATGATACATATTTTACTCTATTTTTATTGGCTAAATTATTTGTCAAGATTAGGTTTTTTTTTTTGTTTGACTGTATTAAGTTTTGTATTAGACTTGGATCTACTTCAGAGTTCAGAAGCTACCGTCTACCTCAGAAGTTTTTGGGCCTGAGTAATGTGGCCAAGCTAAGGAAGGGGTGAATTTCTCTAACAATTTTGCAGTATTTTGAATGGAATGAGCACCTTGATTTGAGAAATTCAGGCAGCACATTTTCCGACGAGTTGGTTATTCTATTTTGACTATAAAAAGATGCTTTTGAAGCTCTTGAATTGCACGAACAAGTACTCTAATTGGTGATTAATCTTGTAAACTTTATATCTTATTATATCTGATCCTTGAAGTGATTTAATAACTCTACAAGGTGGTCTAAAAACGTGACTATGTTGTGTTGAAGATTTAAGTCTTTATTTGGCTTGCACATACCCACTCAAGTAGATGGTGAAGATTGAGTTGGTGTAATTGGCTAAAGGTCATAGTACGTGTCTATGGATATATCTTATCAATCCTTGTAATCTTTGGTGATCATTTAGTGAATTGGGCTGACGTGAATGGTCCCGCAAACGTGGGAGATTTTGCTCCAAACTGTGTTACCATTGTTGTGTCCCTAGTTCATTTTCTTAACTTAACTTTTATATTCTTATCTTTCAAATAAGTAATCAACTTAAAATTAAGTACAAATAAACTAGGAACCTCTAGATTCACGAATCACGATACAGTTATTAATTCAAATAAGTAATCAACTTAAAATTAAGTACAAATAAACTAGGAACCTCTAGATTCACGAATCACGATCCTTTTTCAAATTGTAATTTCAACTAATCGTATTAATATGCCTGATCAGCAAATAAGTATCAGGTACGTAAAGAATGAAGAACAGGAGGAGGAGCATATGAACAAATTAAAAACCACAAGTTAAAATTTATTTCTTTAATTTCCTGTGTTCTTTACATAATCGTCTGTCTATAAACAATCTTTATCCTATCAGTCCTCAATAGTCTATAAACAATGTTGCTGTCATTATATTGAAACCTGGTATCAGATGAAATAATGTCACCGGACCTTGTTGTGAGGCTTCTTGTATTTCAAGTGGGAGGGAGGGGAAGGAGATAGTTCAGCTGGTAGCTGGGGAGGTTCTAAATCCCCAGAAAGCATCCCCACAACTTCTTTCATTGATGGCCTCCTGGCAGCCGACTTCTGCAGTCGGCAGGCAACGCAAGGCCAAAGTGATGCATAGCAGAGCTTGTTCTTCATTAACTAACTCCACCGATTCATCAACCAGATCAAGAAGCTTCCCTGCTCGGGCAAGGTGGCGAGACCACGACACGAGATTGGCACGTCGGAAATCTGACAATGGTGAACTTGTCACCTGGAGGGGCCGACGCCCAGCAATAAGAACTAGCAGCAGTACCCCATAGCTATAGACATCACACTTTTCAGATAGGTCTCCACAAACTCCGTACTCTGGTGCAACGTAGCAGACAGTGCCTCGAAGACTAGGCGTGCTGCTCACACCACTCTTGGCTATGGCTATCTCCCCACTGCTAAATCCATCCTGAAACCACCAATCAATGCTGCTCTTACTACTCCTGCTCCTACTCATTTTCTTCTTCTTCCTATCACCATACAATTCGTCGTCCTTTGCCCAGTAATCACTGTGACAATCATCACTTGTGGAACCCTGCCATTGTTTCTTTTTCTTCCTCGCAAGCTCCTCGCAGTATTCCTCCTTCCACCATTCCCTTGCTGGTCTTCTTTGCTCCTGTTTTGCAGTCTTGTCATCATCCAGAGACACCCACCAATCAAACCGTTTCTGCTTATTCTTCTTCTTCTTCTTCTCAGTTTTCCCTGCACTGGACGAGGCCCCTATCCACTCACTTGTAGGCCTTTCCTCCTTGATCTCGTTCCCAATCCATTCCATTACATAATCCTTCACTGGACCTGATTCTGCCTCAGCAATGTCTTGTTTCCACCACCAATCATTCCCAGACACGCCTTTCTTCTTCTTCTTCTTCTTTACCCCACTCTTCTTATCAGACATTTTCCCACTTTCCACACTAAACCTATCAAAATTCCCCTCCGAAACACTTGTCTTGTCAAATCCCTCAGATGGCGAGGCCATTGCTGCCACTGTTTCAGGTGAAACCACTGGAGTCTCGGGCAATTGATCCACGCCTCCATGAAACTCCTCATCAAGCCTCACACTCTCCGTTTCCTCAATTACCGATCCATTGTCTTCCACTGGCAAATTCCCTAAAGTTTGCTCCTTTTTCACCTCAATTTCAACACGATCCTCTGTTTTTACCTTTGCCAATCCAAAATCTCCTATTTTTGCATTAAAATTAGTATCTAACAACACATTACTGGGCTTAATATCCCCATGGATCACCGGAGGGTCACAAAAATGATGCAAATATTCTAGCCCTTTAGCTATATCAAGAGCAATTGAAAATCTATTTTCCCATTTCTTTAACTCGCTACACTTACGGTGCAACAGACAATCTTGTAGGCTTCCGTTGGCCATGAGTTCATAGACCAGCATCATCCGACGTCCTCTCAGGTCGGAGGAGAAGCCGACGACGGAGACGATGTACTTGGAATCGATTTTTCCGGCGAAAAGCAGCTCGTTCTGAAATTCACGTTCTCCTTGGAGAGAACCCGAATCCATGACCTTGACGGCAACGGGAACATCAGACTTCGAGCCCGGGATTTTCAGAGTCCCGCTGTAGACAGAGCCAAAGCCGCCTTGACCGAGGCGGAGAGAAGGGTCCAACTTTGAGGTGGCACGGCGGAGGACAGAGTAAGAGAAGCGGTAAGGAGGCCTGGAATCGGAGTTTGACGGGACGCTAGTCTTGAGGGAAATTTTCCGAAAGCAGAGAGCGAAAAGGATCAAAAGGGAAGCTGCTGCTGCGGCGGCAGCTATCCCTCCGCCGAGAGGTGCGGTGAGGTTGTGAGTATGGCGGTGGACGAGTGGCGGCGGTGCCCACAGAAGCGGCGGCGACGAAGGCAGGTCACGCGATGGCATGGTGAGAGTATGAAGAATCAAACAGTAACAGCAATAGCAATAGCTATAGCGATAGCGATAAAATGGTGATTAAATGAAAGAAAACGCAGCATCTATCACTCCACTCACCGTTCGTTTACTGCTGCAATTCATTAATGGTGATGCAGAAACACGCTTCCATCTCCTCCTCCTTCTTCATGGAATTTAATTTTAATTTGTGCAGATATAATATGATTGCCGGTGTATCTGTCTTTTGTTGTTTTCCAGTTTTCAACATTGTATGAACAAGTCCGGCTAGCCCGAATGGACTTGTTGAATAACTATTTTATTTTTTATCCTCTTTTTTTTTTTTTTTTTTTAGTTCTAATTTTTTATGTGTTTTCACAAATATGGTTAGGAAATAGAAGATGAGAGGGAATAGAAAAATGAAAAAGGAAAAAAAAAACAAAAAACAAAAAACAAAGCTTAAAATAAAACAAACATTTACACATAAGCCTTGATTTCATTTACACATAAGCCTTGCTTTATAAAAAAATCACACAAAAAACTTCTAATATGGATGACCTAACATTAACTAAGTTTTTGAAAGAGAAGATTCATGCATGAATGATTCCTTAATTTCGCAATTGAACTGATACATAATGTTAGAACCCAACATGTATAACCTAGTACATACATAATAACAAAACAAATGAAAAAGGCTCTGGGATTTAATGTATGTTTTACCAAATTGCTTTGGTGAGAATTGAAAAAGACAATAAACATCATTAATTAACAAATCAAAAATTGTGTACCCACTAAAATAAAGCAATGAGAATTAGGTCATTTTGATTATAAAATAAGAAAACCGGTGGAGAAAATGTGTCACTATAGGCAGATGGTCAAACCAAATTAAAGAAATGAGGTAAGTTGGTTTTGTATTCACCTAATATATAATTAATTGCCAAATGAAAAACAAAACCTACTACACATCCAACTATCCCATTAAATTAAATTTGTGTCATATATATAGTCTTTATTTTAATTAAATTTATTTTTTACTATGACAGAAAGTCTAAATCAAAAAGATCAATAAATAGCTCATGCATTTCAGTCAAACTTACAATATCATTGAACTAATTATTCGACTAATTTAGTGTTCCAAAATAATAATTTATTTGCATGCCTAGTTGTGCACGTAACCTCTTTGTTTATAAAATTAACTAATCCAACTAACCCCTAAAGTCGTAGTAGATTGAATCTTGTCATTTATAAGTATGACAATTTAGTGGTGTATTTATAATTGAAAGATATGTTTAGTTGTATATTTGAAAAAGAATATATTACATTTTAATTTACACAATTTATGTGAAATAGTATGATAAGATTATGTAACTGTAATTAAGTTGGTCAAACAATTGGCTTGGTAATCACCGAGTTTCAAGTTTGACTTAATAGTCACAATGTTTCAAATTCTACTCCTTGTAAAGTTATGTCTTCGTGTCTTACTTTTTTGGGATGAGTTAGTCAACGATGAGTAACCTAAGAAGCCAAGTAGGAAAGAGATGAGGGAGAGAGAAGAAGGAAAAAGCCAAAAAAAATGCATTCTGACGCAAAAAAAAAAAAAAAAAATGAAAGCGCGCCAGATGACGCGTGCACCCGTCGAGCGTTATATGTGCACGAAACGTGCACATCTGCACAAAATATGCACATTTGTGCATTTCCTCCGAGTTTTCTCTCCTAGGGATCCACAAAAAATTATTAACTTGCAGGAAATCAAATCTATATATATAGACTAAAGAAAGAAATGCCAATATAATTTATAGGTAAAATAGATTTTAGTACTTTGACTTCAAAAATTTTAAACATAAGACATTGAAGTCAATCTTTGTTTCACTTGCCTAATAAAGTTGGCATCCGTTTTTATACTTTAACGTACTTCATATTTTTCAAATATGAGACATCAATAAAACCTAATTAATTTTTTCATTTCTCTTTAAGTCAACAACTATAACAGTAATATTGTCTCGGCTATTACGTCCAACAGCCAGGCGAGTGAGCAACGTTGCTGCCGATGCACTTTGGGAGGGGAACAACGTTGAACTCGCTTCCTCGTCATTTGCCCACTCCGCCGGAGGGATGTTTTCTCTCAAACATTCTCTAGCGACATCACACACCATCTCGTTCGGCATAACATCCCACAAACCATCGCTCCCCAAGACCAAAAACTCATCTTCTGGCCCTCTTCTCGTTAAGGTAACTTCCGGCTCAGGTATAACAAATGGCCTCAAAAACCTATCTCCTATGGCACGAGACATTGCAAGAATTCCTTCCACTCGAGCACCATGGGAGTAAATTACTCTACCTCCTAATGCCTCAATCCTTGCTAATTCATCTGGTCGATTGGGCTGTCACAAAGTACAAGTAAAGTTAAGTTTCTTGAAGAGAAGACAAATAAAATATTATTAAATATGATGTCGTCCTATGTGTGTACGTTCACGTGATTGTACGAATACCTAGAAGTTGTACTACGGAAAAACAAGTGGAGATAGATGCTATCATGCATGGATAGACTTTGACCAACCACTTATAAGTCAGAAGTGCTTAGCTGGAATTTCTGAATAAATTACAATTATTTGGACACGTGTTTGTTTAGCTAAGGCAAGTGTCATTGTCTATCTGCATGGAAAGGAAAACGTAACGTACGAGGTGGTTACCTTGTGATCAACCGACAGGGGAAGCGCTCTCCCACGACGGCTGAGGACGGCGCGTGAGTCTCCGCAATTAGCCACGACGATGTGTTCATCCGTCAGAACCACCACCGCCGCCGTGGAGCCGATGAGTCCCGCCTTCTTATGACTGCAGCTGGATTGGTTCGCCGTGCCCCAACACCGACAGCAGTTCCCCACTATCATATCCATCCTTTGGAAGCAGTTCTTCATCGCCGTCACCCATGCATCTTTCAGCGCTGCCTCCGCCGTCGCCTGCGGCGTTTCCGCCGCCGCACGGAAACTGTCCCTGACGCGCACCAGTTCTTCCTCCAGTAACGTGTGCATACGCTCCCTACACAGGGAGGACACCTGCAAGTAATTAAGCTAAGATAAGCGAGAATTTCATAGAAAAACAAAAATGAAAACGTTTTCAAGCCGGATGTTTACTTGAGCACCGCCATGTCCGTCGAAAACAGCGAAGTAATGGAGAGGACGGCGGCGGTTGATCTCCGGGCTGCAAAGGTTGGGACGAACGCAAAGCGCATCCTCCATCTCTCGTGACCGGCCGGAGATGGATACGGCTCCGACCACCGGTGCCGTCATCGCTTGGGGAATCGCCGGCGACGAAGGGTTAGCCATGATTTCCGAGTTTGATGAGAAGTGAGAACTAGCTGCAATCGAACGATTTATATATGATTCTTTTGTAGCTCAGCTCAGCTCCGCCGCCGCTCCACGCATTTATCTGGCTAATGTTCATCATATCCTAAATTTTCGACATTAATTCATTGCGTCCAAATATATATATATTTTTTATATTCGTTTTATGCAATGCATGATTAATTTGCGTATATTGTGATGTGCATGTTTTGAGCAGTATCCGTGCGACTACACGTAACAAAATCGTAAGCATATTGCAGTGAGTTAAGAGAAGTTAATTTTGAAGATTAAGGATAAAGGTGAAGAAGGTATTGAGTTTGTTATAGAGGCGGAGAGGGCCGCCAGCTTTTGCGGGAGGTGCCCAATTAAGTTGCCCGCACTGTCGTGCATGTTACGTGCATGAGACGTGCCATATGAACCATTTATTATTTGTTCACAAAATGTGATTTTTTTGGTGAACCACTTTACGTGCATATAGTACGTTTTTAGTACGATTAATTTAACTCTTTAATTTATAAACTATTATATAAGAATGGACTTATTTAGTGTACACCTTTAAATAGTAATATTGCAATGACATATTTTCTTATCACTAAAAACAAATAAAATCATGTGGTATATATGGAGTTACCGGGTCATTAAAGAACCATTTGTTTGGCCCTAGCTACTATATCTTTTGGATGTTGCTTTAATTCCATATATCACTAATTAAACAACCATTATAAATTAGTTGAAGCCTTTAAGTTGGAATTCTTGAATTTCAGGCCATGCATTTCCTCCATTTTCATTCAATATGTGAGTTGGTAAAAGCCTTGATGTGATCAAGATTGGGCTGCTAAAATGGACTCTGACACTGTTATTTAATTTCCGTTACAATAACGGCCCCAAATCAAGCCTGAAAATCGCTTGAAAATTTTCTTCCGTTATGTTTCCATCTCAGCAATACTACATAATGGTTTCTATGGAAAAGATCAAGATGCACTTGACTTGACACGTTTATGCTGTCCCCAGCACCTTGCAAGGTGGGCACGGTTTCATATCCATAATTTCTAGACTATAAATTCATAATTTTTATACTGCAGATTCATAATTTCTAAACCGTAGATTCATAATTTAAATACAGTAGATTCATAATTTCTATAGTGTAGATTCATAATATCTGTACTGTAAATTTATACTCCATAATTTCTAAATTGTATAGTTATCAAATTATGAACATATAATTTTTTGAATTGTGAAAACAGAATTCAACAATTGGAATCTAAAGTATAAATTTTATACATTTACAATATAGAAATTATGGATATAAAACCGTGCCCACTTTGCAAGGTGGACATATGCTCACGGCATAATTTGCATGTTATTATTATAAATATAATAATTAATAAATTAAATAATAATAAAAGATTTAAAAAAAAAAAAAAAAAAAAAAAAACGGAAGCTTTTGCCAGCAAAAGTGGCAAAAGCTGCCGGCTTGCAGCTTTGAAACAATTAGCAAGCACTTTCTAAGTTAGAAAGTGGTTGCTAACTTGCTTTCCTACGTGGCAAGTTATACAAATAAGCCGTATATGAAGCACTCAGATCACGTGATGACTCCATCTTTTCTTCAATTATTGGTTTGGCTTTAACGTCTAAATGGAATCTCATTTCCAACTTTTTTCCTTTGGCCTTGACCCTACCAACAACTCTCCACACCAAACCCATCAAAATTATAAGAGGATAAAAACAGAAACAATACATACAATGGCTACTTTACAATTAATTCCAACTCACATCACTCTATACTTTCAACGCAACTAATTGAGTAATTTGAAAGAGAGTTGTTAGCTCTGATCTGCTTTACTAAAATTTACAAAACGTTAGGTTATGTATGAGCAAGGAAGAGAAGGCCAAGAGAGGATTTAATTTAATCAACTAAGTATATATTGCTTTGATGCTTTCTCACTATCTCTAAGTAAAGGTTGTTGTGTCCCTCTGTCTAGACACAAAACCAATCTTCTTTCAATGATGTTTGAGAATAATTTATACTAGAATTAGCACATATTACAAAAGAGTTAACCTTTAAGTCATTATTGATCTAAAATATAATACAATTATGGTCTAAAAACATGACTACCCATTGCAACTCTTGCCCATGCTAGTTGGTTTATGGTTCTAGAGAATGACCATACTTGTCGCCACACTCATACTCATATACTTGATTTTTTGCATTGGGCTTCCCCTAACCTCTTACGGGTTAGCTTTATTGGGCTAGTCCTATGCCATTTATTTTATCAATCATATATACATGTTTTTTTTTCTTTTCCTTCCTAATAAGTGACGTCTAACCCTTATCTCCATCCTTGGAGTGGCAAGACTTTACACCACCACTTTCCTTCCTTTGCTTCCATCGACCAACCACTTTTCTTTCTTAGACGAAGCCCACAACAGAACTTGTAGTGGAATTAAAACCACTTTTCTTTCTTAGACGAAGCCCACAACAGAACTTGTAGTGGAATTAAAACCACTTTTCTTTCTTAGACGAAGCCCACAACAGAACTTGTAGTGGAATTAAAACTACTTTTCTTTCTTAGATGAAGCCCACAACAGAACTTGTAGTGGAATTAAAAATGATACTTTAATATTATTATAATGAACCTATTATGTATATAAAATAAAACTGGATAGCAGAGACATGAAGTGTAATTAAATGATATTTCAACGTTATTATAATGAAATCAGTGCACGTGTGAAAAATGAAATTAAAAGATATAGCTAATACAAAAGGTAACAAACTAGGAAAGCAGTAACCATTTTTTTTCCTAAAATTAAAATCAAACTACATTATATACTTCATAGTCCATGCTGCTAGGGTAAAATTTTTCCATATATGCTCATAACTCACAAGCCTTCTAGAAGACTAGGATGGCTAACGCCTAACATATTCCTAGAAAACTAAAAGAATTATAGTGAGTGTGCAACGTGCGCCAACATACGCTACAAGATTATACATGTATGTATGTAGGTATGTTTGTTTGATGTTATGTTATAAAGAGCAGGTGTACACAGTGTAGTTAGCTCACAAGTAATTGATAATGGCAAAGACCAAAAGTTTGTGTAAAATCATCATGCTCTTCATACTAACACAAATTTCCATATCAAATTCTTCTTCATTAACGCCGCCACAAGTGACAGTCACACCACCCCCATTGCCCATCCTTCCCCTCCCAACTTTTTCTCAACTCAAATGGCAACAGAGGGAAGTCATCATGTTCCATCACTTTGGCGTCAACACTTTCACAGACCGGGAATGGGGCACCGGCGACGAGAATCCGGCCATCTTCAACCCAACCTCTCTAGACGCTAACCAATGGGTGGAGACGGCGGTCCAGGCCGGAATTTCTCTCATGATCCTCACCGCTAAACATCACGATGGGTTTTGCCTCTGGCCATCCAAATACACTGATCATTCCGTCATCGGAAGCCCATGGAGGAACGGGAAGGGTGACGTTGTCCGGGAGCTTGTTAACGCCGCTAAGGCTCGCGGTGTCGATATCGGCTTGTACCTTTCCCCTTGGGATCGCCACGATCATAGATACGGGCGGACAAAGGCCTACAATGAATACTACTTGGCTCAATTACAAGAACTTCTCAAAAAGTAAGTGTTTCGTTTAATGTTTTTTGGGGTGGTTAAGGAAACCCGCAGTCACTATTTACTGTATAAACATTGTCTTGTAACCTTAGCATTAACTGCTTTAATTTTTGTGTTGGATCTTTTATCTGGGTGTACGTAGTTATGGAAGTGTTAGAGAAATATGGTTTGATGGAGCAAAGGGCGCAAATGCACCAAACATGACTTACTACTTCAATGATTGGTTTGAAATGGTGAATGAGTTGCAGGGGACAATCAACATATTTTCCGACGCCGGTCCGGGAGTGAGATGGGTTGGGAATGAGAAAGGATTCGCCGGAACCACTTGCTGGTCCACTATCAATCGGACATCACTTTCAATTGGCAATGGCAGCTTAATTAAGTAAGCAACAACTTAAGTGTCTTGTCTTGTCTTTTATTATTATGAACTTATAATAATAATGTGCATGTGCAGTTATCTTAACACCGGAGACTCGAAAGGGACGGATTGGCTACCGTCGGAATGTGACGTCTCAATCCGAAAGGGATGGTTTTGGCATAAATCACAAGCACCAAAGACGCTTACAGAGTTACTTGAAATTTACTACAATTCAGTGGGACGGAATTGCCTGTTACTGCTAAACGTACCGCCTAATACAAAAGGATTGATATCAGATAGTGACGTGATGAGATTAAAGGAGTTTAGAGGTGCCATTGAGACAATATTCTCATCAAATTTGGCTGAAAATTGTTCAATAAAAGTAAGTAGCCAAAGGGGAGGTGGGTTTGGACCTGAAAATATGATAGATGGTGATCATTTATGGACTTACTGGGCACCCATGGATGAATACACGGGACACCATTGGATCAAACTGACGGCGTTTAAAGAAAAACTGAAATTCAACGTGGTACGTATTCAAGAAGCAATCGGATTAGGACAGAGAATAAAACGCCACCAAGTTTACGTGGACGGAGTTAAGGTTGCAGACGGCACCACCGTGGGGTACAAAAAGCTTCATAGGCTTGAAAAGGGAGTGGTGGAAGGGTACAGTGTGAAGATCAAAATAATTGGGTCACGGGCGTCACCTTTAATCTCTTCAATAGGTCTCCATTTTGATCCCTTTTGGCACCCATATTCATAGTGAGCTAGCAGTGTCTAACGTTTTCTGCACATCTCTTTCTTCCTGTTTTGTCTCTGTGTTCCCGAAAATTGATATGTCAATAAACAGCGACAAAAAGGCTAGCATGCCACAAAAGTTGAAGCTGCTAGCTATTCTCATCTCTACACCCCTAATAATATAGATTTTGTAAAGATTTCAACTTTTTTTTTTTTTCGTGATGGAGAAACCCGCAGTCACTATCCAATGGTGTGACACTGGCATTGTGATCATAGGTAGCAAAATATCAGGTAAACCAGCCTAATTTATCTATAGTTGATCAGCTCAAACCAAGAAGATCAATAACAATGGCTATTGGGTAAACAAGAAATATCAGTTTCCCTCTTCATCTCACAACTCAAAGCATCCAACAAAGGCTTGATTTCCTGCAACAGATCTTCAGGCGATCCTCTTACAGAAAATTCATGGACAACTCCATCAATTTCAATCATGCTGCATCCAGGAGCTGTTTTTGCTATTCCTTTGCTGTTCATGAAAGCTCTGACTTTCTTCACATCATCAAATTTACCAGCTTTAGCATAAATATCGCACAGATTAACATAGAAAGCATGGTTCTCAGGTTCCAAAGCAATCAGATACTGAGCAACCTTCTCTCCCAATTCAAAATTCCTGTGCATTTGACACCCCCCAAGAAGTGCTCCCCAGACGAAAACATCTGGTTTCATTGGCATGCCTCTGATAAGCTCTTCAGCCTCATCAAACAGCCCGGCTCGACCTAGAAGATCAACCATGCAAGCGTAGTGTTGGAGTTGTGGCTCTAAAGAGTAGACGCTCCTCATTGCGTTGAAAAACCAGCGGCCTTTCTCTACTAGGCCGGAATGGGCACAAACTGATAACAAGGCAGTAAAGGTGACAGAATTAGGCTTTACTGCGGCCGCTTCCATCTCTGAGAAAAGCTCAAAAGCTTGATTAGCATTTCCATGGAGGGCAAACACAGAAATCATGGAAGTCCATGCCAGAACATCCTTCTTAGGCATTGACACAAAAACTTCAAGGGCTTTATCAACACACCCACATTTTCCATACATGTCCACTAAAGCAGTTGCGATTACTGTGTCACACTCTATCTTGCTTCTATTCAAGAAACCATGAATCCATCTTCCATGATCAATAGCACCAAGCGATGCACAAGCTGAAATTACATTAGCAATAGTGATTTTATCCGGACTGATCACATCATCACCACCCGAAACCTGCATTTCGTGGAACAATCCTAGAGCCTCCTTTCCTCTACCTCCTTGAACAAACCCTGTGATGATTGAATTCCATGTAATAATATTCCTCTTCTCCATATTCCTGAACAGCTCCAAGGCCAAATCAAGCTCTCCATTCCTTAAACACCCAACAACCATCGAATTCCACGAGACTACATCTCTATTTGACATTTCATCAAACACCCTTTGGGCATTATCAAGAAGCCTGCATCCTGAGTACATACTAATCAATGAGTTCTGAATATAAACATCGCTGTGAAGCCCAAACTTAACAGCATGAGCATGAAGGCTTTGACCCGCAAACCCATCAACCCTGTTAACACATTCTTTCAACACAAAAGGCAACGTAATAAAGTCAGGTGTAAACTCATCAAATAACAATCTTTTATACAGAACTAAGGCTTGACAGGAAGTGGGATCACTGTTTTTGGAGGCATGAGCTCTGATCATGGCGTTGTACATAAACAAACTTGGGCTGGAGATGAGGCTGAAAGCATTGGTGGCGTAGCTGAGAGAGCCAGATTCCGATACGCAGCAGAAGAATATGAGGCGAGAAATGAGGAAACAACGGTCAGTTGTTAACAAGAAAGGGGAAGTTATGATGTGGGTATGGATCCGTTTGAGCTCGTTCATCTTCAGGCAATTGTCAAGCAGCCTTGCCAGTGTGTTCCTGAGATATAAGCGCTTGGATTCCATCATTATATTTTTGGAGCTGCCTGTGTATGGTGAAGACCGACAAGTGAAGGATGAAATTAAGAAGATCCTCCGTTGTTTCTACATTGTACTGTGCTATTATATTATTGTATGGTCGGAAATAAAGAGAGTCGATCTTGTATACTTAATGACTGATGATGCTGTAAAGTGCAGTGCAGTGGTATCAGACAGACAACATAAACAATTTGGTCGGAAAATTCACGAAAAAACAAAATTATTGTTAAGGAAGGAAAAAGATCAGCTGTATGGCTATGTGTTTTAAGAAATCGATCTACTTTAATTATATTGTTAGGTGGTTCATAAACAGCAGAAAACATGGTATAATGATATTCCTGTGTGTTCTTTCTACATTCATCAATCAGCTGTCTCATTATATTATATGATGGAGGGGAGTGTTTCAGTATAAATAATCCTCTGATCTTCACCATTTGATGCGCCCTTTTCCTCTGCCTAACCTGTCATTTTGTCGATCAGAATATCCCCCTCTCCCCCCTCTTCCGCCACCACCACCACCACCACCGGAGAAACGACCTCCCCCACCCCTCCTCCTATCAGAAAACCCACCACCACCACCACCACCACCACCGCCGCGACCACCTCCAAATCTTCCACCTCTTGACTTATCTCTTTCTTGCAACTGTGGCAATGCTTTTACAACCTCCAGGCTTATGTCAAATTCATTTCTTGCACCTGCAAATGTAATATTCATATCACAATGGATAATCAAAATAACTACTTAAGATCAAAGACTGAAACACACACCGTACCGGCTATAAATGTTTCCACGTCTTCGGCACACACATCAAAAACCGCCCCCCTTCCATCAGCTGTCAAAGTAAGGCCTTTGATTGATTCAGCCATCGCTTCGTGTAAGAATCTCTTCAACGCATTATATACAAAGCTGGCAACAAGACTTAAGGATCAGAATTCAGACACTACAATCAAAATAATATTAAGTTGGATTGTTTGTTTAATTTGTGCTTTCATTTTTAAGCTATCACCTGATTAAAAACAAAAAAAAGGGGAATAGTTCTTTAAATTCAGTCCTATATGAAAAGTTCTAAAAGAAAATAATAATCCTGAATGCTTACGAAGGTGAATAGACAGGCCTCCCACTCACAAGATGTAGAGTAACATAATTCTCCATGGAAGTAAGAAGTGAGCGCCTCTTCATCTCCGTATATCCCTGAACATCAAGCCAGAGACTTTTGTTAGCCAAGATGGTATACTGGGTTTCAAGCAATTCAAAACAAAAAAAGAAACAAAAATCACAACTTACAGAAGCTTTGGCGAGTGCCTTTGCAAGCAATTCTGCAGCAGTGAGATCAGAGGTCTGCAACAGGTTCTCAGCAGCTGCCTTGAAGGCAGGTATGACACTAGCATGCATATTTCAAGTATATCAATATCAGCACTTGTGATTACCTATCTACTAGAACCATCAAACAAAGAGACTGGCTACCTATCAGAGATTCCGGCAATTTCTTCTGCTGCTTCTTTGCCAACAATTTTCGCAATATCAGCTGGCTGTGGAGCAGCTATGTGCTCAAATTTCACACCAGATTCCTTTTCAATTTTCGAGAGGTTGGACTTTTTAGGATCATAGAACATTACAGCAACGCCACTATTCCCTGGTGCAGTGCCAAATGCCAATACACAAGTTATGTAAAGATTCCCAAACATTCCAATCTCATAAGCATTAATTAAGATCATCTGCCCAACTAACCTGCCCTTCCTGTCCTTCCAGATCGATGAATATAATCTTCTACGTCACGTGGAGGTTCACACTAGAAAAGCACTATGAATGCTAGTATATAAAAGTACCAAATAATTCTTTGTTAATTAAACATCATTAACAAACACTAATTTGATCACAAACCTGGATTACTAACATAACATCAATGTCCAATCCCCGAGCTGCCACATTCGTCGCCACTAAGGTCATGAACTTGCCTGATCTGAATCCAGAAAGTGTAACCTGAAAACAATGTGCCAATCACATCATTGCCAAATTAAATAGACTTTTTTTTTTTCTATCACCTGAAAGCTAAGGAATTTCAACTCAATCAAGTGATAAAAGTAAACATGCCATGATTACCAAATATAGTTATGAAACATTCATTTGACTTGTCTTGTTCATATCCACAGATCCTCTACTATTGCATGGTTTTTAGTTGTATTATAAACAAGTACAAGCTTAACAAAAATGGAGAGGGAAGTGAATATAATCAGTATAGCATAGATTATAAATAATGCATCACACACACAGACCTAAAATATTCTGCAAATTAAAAAGAGAGCCATTCTCAACAAAACTTTTACCTCACGTTGGGCCTGTTGTATATCACCATGTAAAGGCCGAGCACCAGGCAATGATCCAGCAAGCTCAGAAGCATAATCCTTTGTTTCAGTGAAAATAATAGTGCGGCCTCCGCTAAAATAGTATTTCATTAAAAGGAAGTACAAACCATTCAGCAGCTTCATTATCATCTCTGAAGAGTAAATTTGGGAAAAATAAGAAACCAACCTGCTATAGCACCGAATGATATCAGGAATAAGCTGAGATCTAGCTGAAGTAGAGCAAGGAATAATAATATGCCTGACACTAGTGCTGGCCTTCATCTTCTCATTGCCAACGATATCTATGGTTCTCTTATCTGGTTTGAGAAACTTAGCAGAGATCTAGCCAAATAAAGACAGGTTTTGTTCAGAGATTCAGATGATTAAATTATGAATGGAAAAAACAAAGAGTTGATATAGATATTTGAGTGAAATTTTTATTTTTACCACCTCATTGACTGTAGGCCAATTTTTATTAACTGAATATCATCATGCCACATGTTCACTGGTTCTGGTTACCATTTAATTTAAAGAAGAAAGACAAGAAGAAATATTGATGGTAAACGAACATGTTTCACCCAATCTGGCAAAGTGGCACTGAAGAGAAGTGTTTGGACTTGTCCTGCATCCTCTACCCTCCCTTTAAATTTCAAAGAGGAAATAAAAGAAAGAAAGAAAGATTGTTAATAATGATTATAAACAGAACTCACTGAAAAGGATATCTACTGTACCAACAAATTTCAATGCCCAGAGAAGTGCATACCAAGAAAGCTAACAGCTTCACTAAGAGTGGTATAGCATAGCAGAAAACAGTTGGAAAAACTTCCTTTTTAAATTTCAAAAAGGAAAGAATGGCATGATCGATCATTAATAAACAAAATTCTCTGAAATGACCCAAGAAGTAGACATGAAGGAAGCTAACAGCTAGTTTCACTAAGAGTGATATGACACAGAAAACACGTACTAGGCAACAAACAAACTGAGTTATAACCGTGAATACCTAGAATAAATTCAACATCTTCAACAAAACCAATTCTCAGCATTTCATCAACTTCATCAAGAACACGAAACTTTAATGAGGCCAAATCAATATTTCCTTTCTGTATGAGATCCTGCACCACAATATATATATTTCTGAAAAAATAGTAATGTATAAAGACAAACTGGATCAACCTAAGATTAATAAAGCAATAAAAAGGTTACGTACCTTGATGCGTCCAGGAGCACCCACTACAATATCAACACCTCTTTTCAATTTAGTTTGTTGGGGAGCATAGGGAGAACTTCCATACAAACAACAGGACGTCAGCCCCAATGCCCCACCGTAAAATTCAAAGTCAGCAAATACCTGAAGAGCCAATTCCCTAGTGGGTAAGAGAACCAGAACACTGGGAGCTCTCCCATAACCAGTCTTTCGAGTAGCTGTGGCAGGTCCATTCCTTAAGGACTCCAAAATAGGCAAGATAAAGGCCAAGGTTTTACCCTGCAAATTTGGAAAATAAACAACATTGATTATAGGAATTGTGGTTAGCACTTGAGAATTAAGCAATAATTGGTAATTCGATCACTGAACCAAAAAAAGAAGAATTGTTTGAGTGAGGTGCAATGGTAAATGAGTGTGTGAATTAGATCAGATGCGATGATATATATATATATATATATATATATATATATATATATACCTGACCAGTGCGAGCTCGACCAACCAAATCGGAACCATCCAAAATGATATCAAAAGTGGTAGCTTGGATCGGAAACAGATATTCAATCCCCTTAACCTTCAAAGCCTCTCGCAGAGGATCCGAAATCCGAAAATTGGAAATCGAGCTTGGATTCTCCTCCGTCTCAACACCATTATCCACCACCAACTCCGTAAATTTCGTCTTCTTCTTCTTCTTGTCCACCTTAAAATTCATCGGCTCGTCGCACTCCTCACCTCCTCGACGCTATCAATCTCCAAAGCCTTTCGCTTCTTACTCGCCCTCTCCGAATCATACTCCGAATTTCCCTTATCTTCCTCTGACTTTTTCTCTTTCTTCTCAAACTCTAAGCCAAGGCTTCGATCGCTTATTGCTTTTGAATTCTTCTTCTTAAACATTTCGAGGCCACACCTTAATTCACTACCACACAACGTACAACCCCATTATGCATGCATGCCCGCATCTATTTATATCACTATATATACATGTACCAAATGCCGGGAACATTCTATTCTCACAGCGATCCATCCCAGCTGCAATATAATCAATAATAAGGAGAATCAGGGGTTTAGGGTTTATACTTTTACTCCAACTTGGTTATTCAAGTATTAATTTGCAACAATATAATATAATTCATCTTTATTGCAAAAGAAAATTTTACATGCAAAAATTACTAATTTATGAATTTTTATTTTACCAAATTCCAACTTTTTTTAGTACACACGTATAACTAACAATTCCTACTCAATAACGAACATAACCGCCGTCAACTCCTATGCTAGTGTCCTTCTTCCAGCTCCTTCATTAATTAGCTCTTCTCAATACTCCTTCAATGGCAATATCAAAGGCATCCCTCACACCCTCTATACCCGCATTGGGTTTTGAGTATATTATGTTGGGTATATAATCAATCACTTTATTTCTCATCTCCTTTACCTTTTCTTTGCTGATCTTTTCAAGCACAGATTTTATTAAGGTCCCGTTTTTCACCTCGTCCCTGTGTATGAAAACGGAGTAGCTCTCTGTTTCCGGCGGGAAAAACCACCTGTACTGATAGTAAGCGGATCTTTTCCAGAAAAAAACCGGGATTGAACCCGCCACCATGCAGTCAAACGTCGACCGCCGAGTTAAACTGTCCCCCCGGGGCTGCAAACAGAAGTCGGAGTCCAGAAACGTTTCCAGAATCTCCGACGTGCCGTTTGAGCACTTGGTGCCGCCGCAATCCACGGCTCGGCACGCGCCGCCGGAGTCGTTGCACTGGCTGAGCAGCAGAGCCCGGAAGTCATTCTTGATTAACCGGCGTGGCGCTCCGGCGAAGCAGAATAACGTGTTGCGCTGACGAGTGCGCAAGAATTGCTGCCAGCGGGCGATGTCGTCCGCCGTGGAGGGGTGGAATCCGGTGGGGTAAGGCACAGCGACGTCGAAATAGTCCCACGGGTGAGCCTCAATTAACAGGCGTGTGATGTTTCGCATTCCGGGCAAGAATATGCAACTAGAGCCCCAATTCATACCTTCCTTCCGGCGGAAATCCCATGTGATGCGCCCCATCGTGATGAAATGATCCCCGCCGTGCGATCTGTTCCAGTAGGGTTGATCCTGGATCCAGTTAAGCATCATCTTGCAATCCCGATCACGGTCTTCGTTAGTGTAATTGACTTTGATAGGCCATAAGTACTTACCCACCGCGAGTCCAGCGTAGAACGGTATGTAGAACGCCGTAGCAGATTCTGGCTCCGTGGTCCTGCACTTGTAATTTGCCATGCGGTTGTGGAAGATAAGCTCCAGGGCAAACTGGTCCGTCCAAAACCATGACCCCGCGAGATTCTCCGGCAGTATCTTCGAAATTCCGGCGGCGGGGAGCCCAAATCCGTCGTTCGACAGCACCTGACAGCGCGAGTGCCACGGGTCCAAATCCCGGCAATTCTCCACTAGATCAGCATTAAACAGTCTTGGAAGGTCGTAGATATACACTTTACCGAAAGGACACTCAACGCCGCCGTCATTTGTAGCTCCGGTAGCGTTAACTTCAGAGGCGTAAGGTGCAGTCGAGAGAGTTGTCGTCGTCGCCGCCGTGGAAGATGCGTTGCGGCGAGGATACGAGTGTTGAAAGTAGGAGGCGATGGGGAGAGAGCGGGCGGAGAAGAGGAGCAAGGACTGGAGGAGGACGACGGAGAGTAGAAGCCATGCGCCGGGGTGGTAGAAAGAGAAATACCTGAACAACGTGTTTTTCCGATCTAACACTAGATGAGAAGCCGAAGAATCTTTATCAGAAACGGGAAGCATCAGGCTTTACAAGGTGAAAGAAACTCCGGTGGCTCCCGGCGAAGTTTACCGGAAAATTGATGATGTGGGAAGCACTGAACGATGAGACTCTGGGAAATGGAGTAGTATACGTCAGTACGAGATGAATGGTGCGTTACGAAGATGAAGGCATTTAAATCAGTAGCGGGCAGCCATTGATCAAAGAGCCATGTGTCAAACTACGCTAATCCTCTGCAAAACCTCGCCGACACCCATACTTTTTTTGTTGGAAATTTTATTAGGACTATCAAACATCGTACTCCAATAAGATTCCTACTTCGTTCTCTCATACTCTCATCTATGAGAATTTTAAAACACATTACATGGCATTTATTAGTAATTATTAAAGTTCAAACTTTTCTTGAAAATTTAAAAGGTTTGATGTAATTTTTGACTGAAAGTTTAAGTTAATAAAAATTAGAATAGAGTGTTGCTTAGATTCATTGTTTTCAAGGAAAGTAAATCTCACTAAAGGGGTGAGATTATTTTTCATAGCCTACTGAAAATCTGTCTTTATTCAATAATATATTTATTATTTTTGGTGTCCGTCATGTTAAAAATCTAGTAATAATATATTAAAGATTTAAAAATTTTCATGAAATATTAATTTTTTTTAGATAATTTAATTAGGGAAAATGACACTTTTTCCCCCTGTGTTATATACTTATAGCATTTTTTCCCCCTATATTATTTAAGTGGCAATTTTCCCCCCTGATATATTAAATGGACATATTTACCCTTAAAATAAATATTTCCTTTATTTTACTTCTCCAACAAATTATAACCACAATTTTTAAAAAATAAAATACATTAATTGTTGAATTTAGAATACTTTAAAAATAAAAAAATAAAATTTTAAAATAAAGTTTGAACCAACAGTTCAAATTGGATCCGAAATTGTGAAACAACGATTCAAACTAAAAACCAAATCACGATTATATATACTTATATGTGAGAGTCAATATAAATGCGAAAAAAACATACACTATTTACAAATATTATAATTCTAATTTTAAGCTATTGCTAGTAGTTATTCCGATTTGAACCTCTGGTTCACGGTTCAGAATCTATTTTTTTCCACTTCACAATTTTAATAAACGGAACCCAAATATTGGGTTATGTTATGAATCATAACCGAATTTTTTTTTATTTGATTGCTATAGTGTTCGGTTCAGTTCGAACCGATCCGTGGCCATCCCTACGTATAAACAATAATTTGTTGAACAAGAGAAATAAATAAAATATGTATTTTAAGGGTAAAAATGTCTATTTAATATTATCAGGGGGAAAAACTGCCACTTTTATAATAATTGAGGGGACAAATGTGGATGCATGAATAACTCAGGGGGAAAAGTGCTATAAGCATATAACATAGGGGGGAAAAGTGCCATTTTCCCATTTAATTATTATGCATCCCGGGGACACTTTTTGAAGTAAAATTATAAGGCAAGAAAGATGGAGTTTTTTTTTTTTTTTTTTTGAATGCCAGAAAGATGGAGTTGATTAAGGCGAGATTGCGGATTAATTGAGGGGCTAGTATTGTTTTCCACGTGGCTTTCCCTTCTATATTTGCAAATGAGTGAGAGAATGACAAATAATCATAAGATAATGTCCCTACCAAAAAAATTCATAAGATAATGTGATTCCAAACTGCGAATAAAGTGAAAGCATATATGGTCCAAGTAACATCATTCAACTTTGGGATGAGTATTGATTAATTACCGTTGATTTGTTAAGTATTATGTAGTGATTGCACATGTTATCATTTTAAATAAGTGGATGGTCACAATAGTGGTGGGGACATTGATTTTTAGTTGGAAAAAAATTTTAAAAAATATAAAACATATATATATATATATATATATATATATATTGTAAAGAATTATGAGTACTTGTCATTTTTTAGAGTTTATATACAATAATACAAACACGAGTCAATCCATAGTGACGGCAGTTGGGACAACTACCCCCACTCCTCACACTCTCATCTCCTTCATATATACTGTATGTATATGCTCTTATATATACATAGTTAACTTATAAATGTAAATTTACATAAATTTAACCAAATGATGAATTAGTTTATATGGTAACTAAGGCATAAGGTTTCTCTCTAAATGGGGGTAGTTCGGGTTCGTTCCCTCCTCCTTCATGTTGTGCCGATGGTCGGGGCGAATTGTCCTCCTCATTAACTTTAGTTCCTTACACTCGTAGAGGCCAGGAGCTCAGCATCATGTTCAACCAGGGAAGGGGAGGGGGGTGGGGTGAGGGTCGGGTTGCCTTGAACGACTTCATACAGTGCCTTGGTGCTGAGTTGAGGGGGCAACGCTACTACTTTGAGCCCCTCCACGAGGCGGGTTAGCAAAGTTGCAGCTTGTTGGATCGCGATCACTTCATATTAGAGGTCGTGCTGAAGGTGGGGAGATAGGGGCCGCCCCGCGCATTGCGGTTGCTGTTGAGTTTTTCCCGTAAGTCTCCTTGAGGTCATTCTCACTCGGGCCAAGGTGGGTGCTATAGGAATTATGAGAGTTGCGGTCGTGAATTCGAGCTTGTTATTGCTTTGGTAGGTTAGAAAATAGGGAGCACATTCCAGCTTGTATGTCGAGTTCTCAATAATAATACCAATGCTGGATTAAATTAATTCGGGTAGCCCGAATTATTTAACACAATAATTAAAGGAATAAAAATATGGATAATGAAATGAAAAGGACAATGAATATGTATTGCAGAGACACGATTTGTATTAATAAGCGTTGTAAGATGATTACAAGTGAATGAACGATGTCTTAACATAACAAGGATAAACTAATTCATACTAAGGCTTCCTCCTAAACGCTCTCATAAAAAATAAGACATGCGGTTGGGTCCTCCTTGACCACGTCCCTAGCCGAGCCAAGGCCAAGGCCACCTCAGGCCGAGGGAGGTCGACCTCCGGGTTGTTCTCGCTTCATTTTTAGGTTGACTTGCCCCGATTCCATTTCTAATCTATCCATCACTCGACTTTCTCATGCAAAACCTCACCAAATAATTCCTCTTAACATCATATAAAAAGAAAATGTAACTATATACTATTTTATCTATATTTCCAAGGTTACAAATCGAATATATAACATATATAAAAATAAAATTTTAAAAAAAAAAAAACATGATCACAAAATTGTAATACAAACGACCACGAGAAGAATCATTCAAACAATTAAACATTTTATTTTTCAACAAAATATTACGGAGTATTTTATTTTAGCATGTAGCATCACAAATCAACCAGCGACTAATGTCATGTCATATCGAAAATGACCTGCGTCCCAACGAAAATGACATGCTCTGATCCTCTAATTATTATGTTGCGGCCCATCTTATTTAAAGACTTCATAGTTCATCTTTAATTACTTAATTTGTTTATATGTTACGAAATAAAAATTAAAGTTTTTGTCCTCCTCACGCACCCAACACTTCTCAATATTTTTATAAACATAACTTCTGTTATTAATTAGAGTTGTTGTGTATCGTTTCTTCCTGCCAAAAACATACTAAGACGACGAACAAAACTGACGCCGCCTGCCGACAAGTTATATTAGATTACAATTCACAACCACATCGTTGTTGGGAAACTAAAACACAAAAATACAAATTCTTTTTATTATTTCACATTCACCGAATTACTCCGTATATTCTTGACTTTCAATTGTATCTCATATTCTCACGCATGTATATTAATATAGTCCATTTTATGAGATGGCCCAAATTGGGGAGTGGGCCAATCGGCAAAACCCCATTTCTGTTTTGCTTTTCTCCAGGCCCAATCACCTAGCCTAGCTTCATGGCAAATTATGTTGTGCATCGGTATGGTGCATACGGATGCAAAAATGACGTCGTTTTGTATTAAAACGTGCGTCCTATTTTTTAAAAAAATCAGTTTCGATTCCCAGTAATAACATTATGTTATTCATTTTTTAGCTTATTTATTCTGATTTTTAATTATGAAATTTTGGATGTATAGTTATGCAATTCTGGATGTGTAATTATGAAGTTATGGATGTGTAGTTATGCAATTCTGAATTTGTAGTTATGAAGTTATGAATGTGTAGTTATGCAATTCTGGATGTATAGTTATAAAGTTATGAATGTGTAGTTATGTAATTCTGGATTTATAGTTATGAAATTATGAATGTGTAATTATGTAATTTTGAATTTATAGTTATAATGTGATGAAATTATGGATGTGTAGTTATGCAATTCTGATTTTTTTATAAAAAAAATTAAACATCAAAACAACATCATTTTTGCAATCGGATACACCATGCATAGTGCATACGGATACACAGCATAACGATTGTAGCTTCATAATAGATAGAATGAGAGAGAGAGAGAGAGGTGGAGTGGATTCATAATACTATGGAGGGTGTAGGTGTGGAGCAGCCGACCTATTGAAAGAGACATAGGCAACTCATGCCCTCAACAATCTTAGATAATTAGTAAACAATATTATTAATGCAACTATAACGGTAAAGAAAATAGGGTATACAAGAAGTTATTAATTAATGCCAAATTTAACTAAATGATGAGTTAGTTAGATGGTAATGCATATGGTTTCTTTTTAAATGGGTAGGGGTTTAAATTTTACATCATGAAATTTTTTAAATATTAATATTGAGATTATAATTGTTATTATGAGTTTAATTTTTAATTTTAATTAGATTTTTTATTTGTAATATTGTTTTTTTTTTCTTGTTTCTTAAAATTAATAGTGATATAAGTGATTTATAATGTGTTTTTCTATTTGAATTATTTTATCTAATTAATTATATTTCATATTTTGTTTTACTTATTTTTTAAATCCCATTTTGATGTATATTATTTATTCTTCCATAGTTAACTATATTGATGGCTCGGCTCTAAGTATTTAATTTGTTTTTTTTTTTTAATATCTCATTGGTTTTAATCTTTTGTCTCCACTTACGAAGATATCTAAATCTGCCCATATAATTACAGACATACAAAACAACAATTTTATATTGTCAATGACCTTGTGCTCAACGACATAACTGTGATCTCTAAATGGGATGTCACAGTTAATAATACAGGAAAAAACAAATATATATTGAAAATAGTAATATTATATTATTAGTTAGTACTCCGTAATAAATAGTATCCACCAAGAATGTAATTATTGTATAGTCTAATAGGATAATTAGGGTAAAAGGTAATGCAACCTAGAGTAGGGATTTGACGGGGATCACGGGTCCTATGATGCCATAATCAATTCCCACTTTAATTCCTGTCAACTAAAATCTCTTCCAGGTCCCACACC